CTGTGGTCAGCACTAAATTATCTTTGGCAAGCATATCCATCAACAAGTTGTCGGGATACATGAGCTCTGTCCCTTTGTCTCCCTGGCTGATACGTACCTAGTGTCTCCTTCAGACCTGCTCTTTCAGGTTCCAAAGGATTTTTTTTTCTCAGTTGAAACGTTATTTATTGGTTTGCATTTTTTTTTCTTTTAGATAGAACTACTCTTACTTTGAGATAAAAGTTGCTGTCATATCTGGATTAATGAAGACACTTTATGATAACTGCAAAGGTCACTTGGTATACAGAATGGTTTTTTTTCTGTAGAATATTCAGAATTTGGATTGTCCATCTGGTAGTATTCAGCGCTGTTATTTTGTCTGCCTTTGCTTTTCAAGTACAAATGGTAACAAGACTGGGAATTAATGAACTTCTGAAACCATAGATTCTCTATTGAAAATGGCAAGGTTCCTGGTTCTTCGCAGTATTCCTTACTTACACATCAGCACATAGTGTATTGCATTTTACAGGCAGTTACTAATCCTTTATCTTTTCAAGTATTTGGGGCAGGGATTTGAGATTTGGTTGTGTTTTTTTTTTGTTTTGTTTTGTTTTGTTTTTTGTTTTGTTTGTTTTGTTTGTTGTTTGTTTTGGTTTTTAGGTTTTAACTTGTTTTGTTTGTTTGTTTGTTTGTTTAATTTTTTGTTGTTTGTTTGTTTGTCATTCTCCGCCCCCCCCCCCCCCCCCAACAGAAGACACATTCCTATTCTTTGAATCCTATTTCTTTGTTTTCCTAGAAGTTTCGCCCTTCTTAGTCATTGTTGCTGTGTTTCTTTGACTGAGTGACATCCCCAAAGACATATTTTTGGCCATGGTTATTCATACTTCTCACAATACTGAATCTGTGATGTTTAATTTTTATTTGGCAACATCCTAAAACAGGATGAAACAGAGTCTGATTGCGGATCTAGGCAGCTTTCAGAAGAGTATTTGCAAATGCATGCTCAGATGTGGCTTTAGGTTAGAACTTGGCCTTCTGAAATTGTGTGAAGAGCGTATGTTTTCTGTGCTGTTTCAAAGCTGCTCACTAGTTCCTCTCTCTACTGCTTACTTCAACAGATATGACACTAATATTTCAAATCTGCAATAAAAAACACATGTATTGGAAGCATCAGCAAAGTTTACCATCACGTAAACAGAAAGAGGACGTGTGAAGAAAACTGATATTGTGGCACTCAGTTTTCATTTGGTAACCATTCTGGAAAAGCTAATCTGTTTGACATTTGTATTTGTCTTCAAACTCTAACAATGGCCAGCCATAGAGATAATGCAGACTATGCTGATTCACGTAGAAAAATCCACCTAACTCAAAATTTGCCCTCTCAAAGGCTATCACTTACTATCCTAAGACACTGACGAAGAGAAAAAGTTCTGTAGCTCCACTTCAGTGAGCACTCAAACGGTAATAGCAGGAAGACAGATACACTATCTCTGCCTTTCCTTAACCGAGTAGAGGGTTTGAAATTTTAGTGAAAGGGATGAATTCAACAACTCTGAGATACAAAAGCAAAATACTACAAAAATGGCTTCCTCTCAGAACAAATTGCTTTCATTCAATGCTTTGTGTTGTTTGACTCACAGAAATTCCTGATATTACTAATATTTTCTGGCTCCCCATCAGGACCAGATGAATAAATCCCTTGTTACTGGATTTTCATATGTATAGCCTTGAAAACTCGAAGCTTTCAGTTCATTCTCCAGTCTGTCTGTAATAAGAAGTGACTTGAGGGATCTGGACCAGAAAATTGTTGAAATGGATATGTAGCTGGGAAGTATTTCATCCTTAGCAAAACAACATATTTGGCTAAATTTCATGTAGTTGCAAATACCCCCATCAGCCCTGGCCAGCAGTGTTTGGTTGTGATATAAATTAAATAAACGCTATCTTCAGAAAGCAATTGCCCATGTAAGAACACTGTTAGCACAGTTCTCCCACTTATCTTTCTTTGATTACTTGCACTTAAACAATAAGTGGAAAGGAGCAGACAAACATACAAGTGGTAAAAGACACTTCATCTGATGAATAAGGTAGATTGACCACCTATATAAACCTTTAGTTTAGATGTTTTAAAATAGCCCATAAAATTCCATATGGGTAAACCTGAGAATCAGCCACATAAGATAATTTTTAAAAATATAAGACATGTTCCTTGACAAAAGAAAAGGAACTGAAGGAGCATGATCTCTGCAAGACCTCTTGTTTTGTGCTTATATTCTCTGGTGTTTAATAAAATGTTGCCTCTAGTGTTCCCTGAGTGAGGCAGACATTATGTCTCCCATATAGATTCCTTGCATCTTGTAAGATTTAGCTTCTGCTAATGCCTTTTCTTCAATAAGGGCACAAACAGAAGCACCTTCCTCGACCCAGCTGCCCAAATTCATAAGACTTGTAGGAATTTAATCTCAGAGTGTAATTTCAACCTCCTAGTGACTTCACTGCTGTTCTGACTCCTTGATACTTGGGTCACATTAGCCAAGGTAACTTCTCAGTCTCTGCAAAGCAAAGCTGAGGAAAGTAGGAGGAATTTCCTCCTATGGAAGAGATTCTTGAAGTTACCTCCAGATTCTTAGCTAATGCTGTCAACTTGAGAATTTAGCTGGCATGCAAGTCAAAAGGGACAAAACCCGAGCAGGAGGAAAAGGGAAAACGAGACACTTAAGAATATCCCTGAGGAGATTAGATGAAGATCCCTCTACAGGAACTCTTGGCACAGCAGACACAAGCTTATGAGACTGTCCTGAATTAGACTTGTCAGAAAGCAGAGCTAACAATAGCTGCTGGGCCCAGCAGACTGAGCCGTGCACCCAAGAGGCTGCACTATCCATCAGAAATTAGTTATCAGGGACTGCAGAGGTGGACAAAAGGCACAGTCAGAAGCAGCCACCATCCTTCAAGCTGGATGAGTGATGTGAGCAGCAGGTATTGCTGGGGGACGGTTGTGATAGTTCCCCTTCAGAACAAAGCTGTAAGATATCTGTTACCCATAATGTGTGCAAAGACTTTTTCAGGTCATGTCTGCCACAGGAAAATACGGGTGTAACACCTGGAATAAATTGCCTGATGTGCTTACAAATGAGATGTTTAATTCACTTGACCATAAAGAAGCCCTATGGCAACAGCGAAGGGTAACGCCCATAGCAGTTTTGCACTTTTCTTGTCTTTTTTTGGCTCTCCAGCTCCTCAGTACTTCCACTGTGGTGGCATTCAGAGCCATAGCAGGACACGTTGATGCCACACATGCATCGCACTTTCATGGTAGCTGCATGCTGGTGATGAGGGGAGGTTTTTAGGGCCGTCTTGCCACACAGCTGCTGCAGCTCTGTCGACACATGGAGCAGGGTGTGCTCTGAGCACAGCTGTCATTGCTGTCATCGAGGAATGGTGGAGACTGTCTTATGCTAGAGTCCAGGTTCAGGGGATTCCTGGGGAGCTCCTTGAAGGCAGCGTATTATAAAAGTGCTTGTAAAAGCATTTTAACCTTAGCTTGTAAGAAGATATACAAGAAAGTGATTTGGAGCTGCATTTTTAGGAAAAACTTTGTCTCTTAGCTTGTGAATCATACTCTGTGTTGATAGTTGAGCAGTGTCTTCCGCTGGGAGGATCTATACAGGGAGGCTAGGGCAGGAGATTAATGCCCTTATGTTCAACTCGATCTATTACATAGAGTGCTCTGTGTCACTTCTCCTGGACACACCATGATTTAACGTTCAGGAGCACGCACATCTTGTCATGAACTCAATCAGCTACCAGTTTTCTAACCCATCCCTTCATCAGAGTGCAAGAATTTTCACTTGCAAGTATCTCCAGAGTAAGGCTTCTCATCCAGAGGAAGCAGAAGGAAATTGTCCTCTTTAATGAGCATGAATTAAAAAAAGGAGGAAAATTTCCTGCCTTTCTGCCCTCCATGAACACAGTTGAGGTCCATTGTGGATGCTGTTTGATATGCCTGAACTTCTCCTTCAAATAAAAGCAAGTAAAGCCAGGGTCCTGGCTGCTTCTTATTGAATACCTCCCTGAACTTTTCACAGCTGTCAAGTGCTGACTTGTGCACAGCAGCTGAATTCCACCTTGGAGTGACTGGACATCATTTCTCTATCTTCCTCATCTGGTTGTGTTTCCTTCTTCCTTGGCATCCTAGCCAAGGGCAGCCTCATTTCAGTGGTGAGTTTGTTCTGCACAGTGTTACCTAGAGGCTGAATCCTTTGGCACTTACTCCAGCTGGTGCTTCCTTTGACTGCAGTGCAAATGTTGTATGGAGAAGTTTAAGTAAAGACTACCGAATGGCTCCAATCCTGTGTCTAAATTTAAGCACACCGTGGTGCCGGTGTAGAATTTCATTCCTTCTCCTCAGCTTTGTGAGACTGAAAAGGCTTCTCTGTAAGGAGCCAGGTGCAGCAGGGGGATCAGCATCTCTATGTCCCTCAGATAAAGTGATGCTGTGGAATTCACAGAGTTAAAATAGCTGGTACATTGATACTGTCAGTGTAGTACAGTATTTTTAATAGACTAAAAATCTTGCTTATTTTTCATGACCAATAACTTGTATTAAAAAAAAAAATAAATAAATAAACTTTTAAAAGGTTTCATTAAGAGTGCAGAAAGATCCTAGAAACAGGGGCACTTCTGAGAATTCCAAGTGTCCACCTGTAAAGTCTTCATATACTAAAAAATAACTTTAATACTTGAGTATTTGTCCTTTATTCAGCTATCTTGTAAGTATTGCTGCAAATGCAACAAGAGCTGAAAACAGCAGCCTCTTAACAGTGGCCTTTTTTTGGCTGTTTAATAAACATACACTAGATACAAATTTAGGCAATAAAAGGTTCATGTAGTATGTATGTATGTATAATACATGCACAAAAGGACTATTCAAAATGCATAGCAACCACTCGGCAGGGTTTAATTTTCCTTAACAGTTTTCCATTTTCCTTTAAATTTGGGATGGGAGTGGGGGGTAGCAATCAGAATCCTTGGCATAAATGGGATAATAATAAGGAAGTTCCTGGTATTGTTGATGTTATAGTTCCTAACAAAGCATACAACTGAATTCAGATAAAAGAAAGTTTCTGATTAAAAGGGACCATATGAATGAAAAATTTTAGAAGTTATTGGAAATTTCTTTTAGCTGCTAATCGTTGTCATATGTTAATCATAAGAGAAGTGAAACACCAGCCAAGATTTTTGTAACATGCTTTATTAATTTGGTTAACAACTTTCTTAAAACGTATTTTAAAAACTATTAGCATTCTGTATGATAGCACACATAAATTATGTCAGCCGAACAGTACGGCAGGTTACATCATTGTGACATTTATGAAGCCAGCATCTGCTGTGCATGATGGGCTGGCTTTTTCGAAAGCCTATCTAAGGGTTTTACAGCTGGCTTTCCAAATATATGCCCTTCCGTCTTCTTAAAGCGACACACACACACACAGACCGGTGCTGGGTTTGGATTTTCATCCAGATTTCTCACTTAGCAGGGTCTGTTTGAGTGTCGGTTTTCATGTATGCCAGCGGTGAAGTCCTGAGTGTTAAGCAGATGTGTCAGGACAACACCTAGATGTCCAGACTGAGGCTGTAATCCCCTTTTAGTCCAAGTGCAGAAGCAGATATTACTAACAGTTGGCTGAGAGTGCTGAGTGCTATAAAAACTAGTCACGCTTTACTGTCTTGAAAAATACAGAGGCAGTTAATTTTGGAGGGTGTTTTGTTGTGTTTTTTTGTTGTTGTTGTTGTTTGTTTTGGTTTGGTTTTTTAATATTTGACACTGATGTTACAGATAAGACTTTTTATTTGTTTCAGAAGAATCTACCTGTCTAACTCTCACCGAAATCTGGCAGTTCAGTGCCTTCATGTATTTAATGGGCCAGGGTCTGGCCCTCTCAGCCTTTTTAGGCACTTCAGTTATCCTTTGCACTGTGCTGGAGAAAAGGCTCAAGATGTGCCTGTAGGGTTCTGTAAATGCAAAGAAAACAGGGTTTTAAGGAACTTAGGATCTGGGCACAAGCAAAAGCAGGACTGCTGGTAAAATAACACCGGTCTCACCAGACACAGCGCAGGACTGGGTAAGTTGGTCTGCCAGGTTTATCTTCACCTGTTTGTTTCATTTTGTTTTGCTCTCTGCATAGAGCAGCACAATCAGCCCGTGATGTGTGAGTGAAATAGGCGGAGGCTTTCTTCACGTTTTATCTTCCTCTGCTACAAAAAAAACCAGCAACCTCTTTCCTATAAAGACTGACAGAACAATCTTGTGATATATGGTGAAGGTGCATATAGATGTGTGCATGTTCGTACATGTATGCATACGAAGCACTCTGTCCCTAAGTCCTGAAGTCAAACAAAGCCCTAAACCCCTGCAGTGCACTAAAGAGTCTTGCAGTTCTGATACGTGCATAAAGCTAGCCCCTAGTACTTCTCCCTGAAAAGGTTTTTTGTGCCTGAAGAAAGAAGCAAGCAGAGGTAAAATCAGGTTCACAAAGGGGCATCACGGTGTCTCACCTGCCTGAAGGGATCAGGGATCAACTTCAGATTCCCCTGCAAAACCCACCAGCAAAACCCCAAGCTGTTACTGAGCCACTTTTTTTTTTTTTTCCCTAAATCCTTCAGTGGCCCGACATACCTTTCCATGGGGCCGCAGTTCTGCTTGCAAAAAGCCAGTCATTTCATCAAAGCCCCAGACTCTGGAGAACATGGGCTGTGCCATCTCAGGGCTGCTTTTCAAGGAGGCATCTGTGCTTAGCATATGGCAACTATTTATTATAGCTGTTGCATTGAGAAACAACAATTCCCATGATAATTGTTTCTCGTATATCAAGATGCTTCAATCTCTGTTTCCCACAACATTCTGCTTGTCTGGTATGTGTGTGCCAATGTCACCACAGTCCTCGCAGACAGTTGTCTACGTTTTGTCATTACTGAGGGTAAACAGACATGACTTGAGTGGGAAGGAGAGCGGGGGAAGTGGACTGCTAATTTAGTCTGGCTTCAGTACTGTGCTGTGAAAGGAGCACTGAATGATTTGTGGGCAATATTTACAAACCTCCCCTCCCTCAATCCGTTCGTCCTTTTTCTCCGAGCACACATTGTTTAAGAGCATTAATGCTTAGGGGTTTTGCCAGAATGCAGTACAGACGAGGCTTGAATTTGCAAGGGAACGGGGGAACTTTTCAGCCTGTTCATTATTCCTAAAGAAACAATCACACAGAAAATATATGACATGTATTGTACATTTAATCACATGTGTGCATACACTTTCAGCACCTATACTAGGAGCGTACCATATATAACCCTTTCTCCCTCTGCATACAGTATTCACATACATACCTTTTATTTGCCAGGTGTCAAAATCCCTAAACACAGATTAATAGAATAGAATAAAACCACTGGTTCATCACCAACAAGAGGGAAACTTTTGGTGCCTGACCTGGCTGTGATTTCCCCTTTTGAGCTCTGAGTTTCAGAGCCTGTTACAGGGAACAGTTCTAGGCTACTTGTTTGCATGAATCAGCGCAACTCCGCAGATTTTCAGCATCAATGTCTTTGCCCATACTGGGTAGGATTTGGATCCATAACATTTGATGATTTTTTTTTTTTTTTTAGGGGAGAGAGAGGATAGTGTGCACCTTTCAGTACTTAATGGAAGCAAATGTGACCTGGAAATGGCTGAGCAAAACAGTATCTGAAAGTACTGTGCATTGGGTAAGCATTGCACTCATTTTCTCAGCCAGAGACACTCCTAAGAAGCCATAAGCATTAAAAATCAGCAGGATCTAAGCTTTATTGAGGAACTATGAGGGAGGTAAGGTGTTGACTCTTACCATATTTTAACTCAGGTCATGTTACTGCAGAGCTTGGGCATAACCAAGATTTGACCTCAGTTCATTCTGTGTTCAAAAACAGAGAGAAGAGTCTGTTACTTTCTGATAAATTAGGCTCTGTTCAAAATACAGCATTACTCCCTGACAATACAAACGAGCCAAGCTCTTAATGTGATGATGAGAGCTTTGATGATATTCAGCACTTGTGAAGCTGACTCTTGGTCTTTTGTGTGTCACTGATGTGTTTACACTAACCAGATGATGTACACACGTACCATATTATTCATAAGTTCATCTGATTTTAACCAGCTTGTCTGCTTTCATGTTAAAACCTGAGCTGAAACAATTTTGCTTGTGTGAGGAGGTGGTACGGCTCTTAGTGAAGTTTACATGACTCTGCTGCTTTATGCCATCGCTAACTGGATCCTGTATTTGCATGTAAAAGTCTGACTTCATAATGCTGCTTTATTTTTGGCTTTGTGCAAGCTGTTTCTAGTTGAATCAATAGTAAAACCGCTCCTTAAGGCAGATAAATATGTAATTAGTAGAAATAATGGAGCACTAGTCAGCTGCAAAACTGATGCTTCATCTAAATGTGTGTAAGGCACTTTATTTAGTTGGCATGTTGCTAACATCTATTAAGTTAAATTATGAGAAGTGTTTTGAGGCCTTTCACACAGAAAGTGAAGCTTTTCATTCCTTATTTACATGTGTGAATGTATATGCATGGAGACTTCAACCCATGAATTAACTCCAGAGGAAAACAAACCACCAGATAAACACAAAGCCTGGGTTTGTGTTTGGGTTTATTATTTTTTCCCTTCAGAAAGCAAAGAAGCATCCTTACAGAATTTTCTGATTAATTTATTCAAAGAACTTAATTGATGTATCACAACACAGCGGTATAATTTACATGGCATTAAAAAATGGAATTGCTTCGCTCTTCACGCTGACAGCAGCCAGCTGACTGAGTAACAAGAAGTCGATCTTTGATGGTCATTTCTGCGACTTTGAAACATGTGCTTTTATTTAATTCTCACCTCATGCTGTTTGCTTTTCTAAATAGCATTAAATGAGCATGGAGCTGCGCTTGAAATATTACACGGTGTTTTATTAACACCAGTTAACACTGGTAGCTCTGGGTAGATAGATAGCTCCAGGTCCTGTTGGAAGTCACCATACATCTTGGGGTTTCATGCAAATGTAAAACCCGTGCTACAACTTCTGGATTGGACAATTACATGTTGGAAGTCAGAAACCTCTTTGATTGGTTGTTTCTACAGCGCAGCTATCAGTGCCAAAGAAATCCAACAAGATATGTACATGTATACATGAGCTGAGTGTCCCCAGTGGAAGAAGTGTTTTTAACTTAGTAGACCTGATCCTTTGGGGTTTGGGTCTGGGGTGTTGTTTCTTTGCTCTTTGGGATGCTTGCAAGGTTGTCTTTATGCAAAGAACACAGTCACATCCAACCTGAGGTGACTTTTTCTTAAACTAAGGGAATCTGAGGAACAAAAACAGGATGAAATCATTGAAGCATTGAATAATTCACACTAGTAGGGACCTCTGGAGGTCATTTAGTCCCACTGTCTGCTCAAACCAGGTCTGAATAAATCAGATTTCTTGGGGTCTTTTCCATTCAAGAGATCATAAGCAGAAAAAGCAGTGTGAGATTCCCTCTCACTCCATTGCAAGTCCTCTTGCCAAAGGCTACAGTGACACAAGCTCCTGAGGCTAGGGCTTCACCCTCGGTACTACCCTGTCCCGAACTCTGTAACACCTCCATGTTTGCTGCTAAAGAAGCCCATTGAAATGGAGAGTATTGCCAACAGGCAGGGGTTTACCAGGGAGTGAAGACAGAGATTTTTACCTATCCCCACCTGCGAATTGGGTGGCATTGTGCATACCCCTGCAGAGCTGCGCAGCTCCCTGGTAGAGTCAGGCTGCAGCCACCTCTGGTCCCATCTGCCCAAATCTTCCCCAAAGCAGTGGCTGTTTGGGCCACACCACTTGGCCACGCTCTACAAGAAGGCTAAATGGTGTAGTGTAGTGTGGAGCACAGCTGAGAAGCCCAGGACCTGTGAGGTGTCATCTCTCAAGCCATGGATGTCTCTGCTCTGCAGTCCAAGCTAGCTTTGTGCTGGGAACTAGGAGGGGGATGAAAGGAGAGAGAAAACTATCTCCATATACAAGGATATTCTACTAGTAGCACAAGAAAAGATGGAAGAAATTATAAATCTTCAGTTTTCCAACTCCTCGCAAGCACAGAGTACCTTGTCACACTGCCTCATAAGGATTTTATGTATGGTTTTAATACTTGAAACTTCCTCCATCTTCAAAGAACAACAAGACTTTGAGACAGATATGTGGGAAATCACTTAGCCAAGTCTTGTAATTTCAGTTCTTCTGCAGTGATCTGCAAACCACAGACTCTGAAATGAGCAAGGGGTTATGTGAATGTTCCGTATAAGTATTTATTTTTATTTTCTTTAGTAGAAGCTGTCAAATAAAGCATCTCCTGCCCTTCAGAGTTTTTGCAGTCTGTGCAGAGCCTCTGCAAGCCAGAGCTTTGCTTAGTACACTTAATTAGAGTTTGCTTATTATAACACTGCAAAATACAAGCTGGTTTTAGTCAGGGAATTAAATTTTGCTGCATTTTATTCTTGGTTAGCATCAGTTGCTTCCTAGCATTGGCAGCAATGCTCATGAGATCTGTGCACGTCTGGTGCATAAGAGGTTAGTAGATTTAACAGAGAGACATTAAAAATGGATTTAATAGAGTAGTAGCCTGGACTTCAGCATGTACTGTAATTTTAGCATTGCCCCTGGGTAAGTATTCAATTTTGACTTTTTTTTTTTTTTTTTCCTTCCAGACTAAATGAAACAGATGCCTCTAGTACACTTCTTTGGTAAACACACTCTGAGAATCCTCCATCCAATTGTAAGTGATTATATGGCTAAAAATGCATTCTGTAATAGAGAAAACAGATGCAGTGATAATTATCCCAGTGCCCTGCATGTCAAATATTAACTATTGGTGGTGGAAATAAAGAGGCTGAAATCAGAACCAAGTGGGATTTGCTGTACCAGATCAGACTACCAGTTCAGGTTGTCTGACTATATCTTCAAATACAGGCTCAGCTTGATAATTTATAAAGAAATCAGGAATGCTACTTTATAATATTGGAAAGGAAGATGAACTTCTGACGTTAAGTTTTCCTATCAGTTGTTTGTACTTACTAGTCAGGCATGGAACTCAAAGGGTCATCAGGACTTCCAGTAACAATTATTTGAGTACTTCAAATCTGTGATCCGATTTTTCATTGCAATTTCATTGCCACCAAAAGCAGTAGCCAACTGTGCTCTGTGCTCAGTAACATGAGAATTGCAATGCCTTCCTAGGCAGTTTGAGGTTGGATCAGTGAATTAAGTTTTTTGCCTGTAGCTGTTGCGGAAAATTCCATGTGGATGTGCAAGCTTATCATCTGATCTTCCAAGATGTTGGTGAGCATAGCACTAGCCAGAGTGACCAGCATGTATGCAGGATCTTAGCTCAGGCTGGAAGCTTCAGCCCTTTGACCAAAATCATTGCAGCTGCTTCTGATTGCTCTTGTTTTGCCCTCACACAGCTGAAGATGATTCAATTTAAAAATGTAAGTGCCCAAGTAAATAGCCCCTAATATGGTCTCATCTCCTCTGCTATTTTTCTCTGATTAGTTTTAGAAGGGTTGCAATATTGAAAAGGTGAAAATTCCTCCATGACGAAGGTATTTGTCACAAATTCCCTCAGCTAATTGGAGGCATCTAACCTATTGAGCGTAAGGGTAGGTGCTTTCTCACCCAGCATTTGCTGCCTGAAGCTCACGCTGTTGCAGATCCAAGCTAATATTCCATTTTCCTTCTCTTGCCAGTAGAGATAAAACAAGCACTTTCAGATGGCGGTTCATCCTGTCCTAAAATTGGTGGGAAAACTGTCATCCACAGGTGCCTGTTTTGTCTGTAAAGGGAGCCTGCAGCGCTAAAATAAGCTAGAAGCCTAATTTTTGGTGGTTTGTTTATCTGAGGTGAGTGTTATCCAAGTTAGCCTCATCGTGCCCTTCACTTCTTCTCAAGATGGAGGAAAGACAACCTCTTTCGGAGCTGGAGTGGAGAAGCGTGACCCTGTAACATGGAGTAGCCAGAGGCTGGTGGTTAAAATAGGAAACTAATGTAAACTGCTTATCATTGACAGGGAGGTAAACTTTAGAAACTGGGTGAATTCACCTGTGTGAAATGTATGAGAAATAGGTCAAGGCCATGCTGTCTGTTTACATGCTTTTAATCTCCACCAGGACATAGCAATTTATCATCTTTCCAAAGTGAAAGCCCTACTGAGTGCAGAGGAATGGGCTGAAATTCCATGGTCTAGGAGACACAGGTGTTCAGGTCAGAAATATCTGGTGGTCTTTCTGGGTGTCAATAAGCCTGTCTAGGTGTAGTTAGTTCCAATTTTATTTTGATGTGGTTTTACGAGAGTCAAACCTACTAATGGAGTGGCCTCCTAAGAAAGGTTGTGGGGGCAGGAAAGGCTTGCATTTTGCAAAACACTGTTAAAGAAGGACAAATTATTTATACACATACATATAAAACCTATATGTGTACTTGTCCAGGAGAAAGGTGTGATATATTAATGTGAAAAGACACCTGCTTGTGTTATGGGGGAAAACATGACATACAGGAGGAGAGGAGCTACTGGAAGTTGAAGGCATCTCCCCAGGGTACAGTCAAGACCAGCTCAGGATGGACCTGAGGACAAGAACCTTCTCTGCATTTTTCTGCACTGAGCAGCAGCAGGAGCAGCCACCAGTTTGGTTTAGCAGTAATCACTGGGCTAGCCTTTCATTAGTGTCTGACACTAATTAATATGCCATGTGCTCTTTCAAGAACACCAGATAAGTACTCACAGCTTTTCCTAGGCAGATGGTAACTTTCATTACTTGACCAGATTTGCTGATTGCTGTTAGATGTCTCACTCCTTGCACAGCTCCAGGGCCGTACCATGTCATGCCTCTGAGTGTTCTCAGCCACAGAAAAGAAGGATCCTGTTTGATTTTGAAAGCCATGGGCTGGGTAAAATCCCATTGCTCTTTTCTGATATATCTTCTACTAACGTCAACTTTTCGTCTGAATTTTGCCTGAAAACTGTCAGAAGAACAAGCTGCAGGTTTAAGCTCACTGTGAGCAACAAATTCCCACACTCATCTTGAAACCCTTTTGTTTTTCCACAACTTTGTAGCATCTTTTAGGTCTCAGGAGGGGAATTGCAAGTTGTAAATTTCTTTATGCGTCCTCCTTTCACACTCCTAGGTGTGAAAAATAAAATGCTCCCCAGCTAGGCCATCCCTCTGTCTCTGAATAAACATTTGTTCGGGGGCTCCCATTCTTACCAAGGTGTTAGGATAACATTCTCATGCTGATTCCTCTGCCTTCCTTCAGCATCCCGGTGCTGGAGGTCCGTTTCCGAGGCTTTGAAATGGCCTTGCTCTCACCTCACCTTATACACATGGAAATCAGATCACCAGAAGGAGAAGGAGCGAGCTTGTAAATCCCATGGAGAAGCCAACAGGGCAGGTTAGGGAATTATGACCTTCAGTGTATTAACATTTGTGGTAGGAGCTTTGTGCAGCCAAAGAGGCTGCAATAAAAATTGAGAAAGGGTGGGTAGGTGCGTGAGGGCACTGCTAAAGGGCTTGAGCCTGCTTCTTTCAAGCTCCACCGACTGCTTTGCCGTTGTGTTGGGGAAGGCCAAAGCTGACCATTTAGAGCTTTTAGCTGCTTGTTTTTATACACTGAGAACAAAGGTTCTCTTATCATTAGCAACTGTTTATGCAAGAGTTGAGAAACCACAGCTGATAGGGGAGCCATGCCTTAGTGGGCACCACACATGCCCAGAAAGTCCTTGCCACAAATCTACAGACGAGAGAGACAAAGGCTACAGCATGTAAGTAGCATGGGTGTTGCAGCAACAAATTTCCAGCAAGACTGGCCCACCACCATCAACCACAAGGCCAACTTGTCTCCTTAGGAGTTGTGTAAGAAACAAAGGGGGCCAACTGGGTGTGCAAATGTCTCCTCTTTACACTGCTTTTAATTAATCAGGGGAACTTGCTGCCACATGGTGTCTGGAAGGCAGCTAGTTCCAGCGGCTGCACAGTGAGAAGAACAAGGCTTTGTCTGCCCTTCAAAGGGGATGTTGGCAGAGTTATTCCCCAAACCGTGCCTTCCAACCATCAGCCTTCGTGTCCTCTGTCCAGCATAGGTCCTGCTTGTTTTCTGAGCAGATGAATCCTTAGCGATGAATCCTTCTGCTGGTTTAGTTGTACCAAAGAAAAGGCTTTTCCTGGCAAAGCTACAGTGGTAAGGGGAGGAATATTTTCCAGCGCCTGGCTGCCGTAGCTGGTCTGAGAGGAGCCTCCAGTGCAGGCCTGGTGGGAGGCTGTCAAACAGGCGCTGCAGGCAGCAAGGGAGGATTATGTCAGTCCTCAAAAGTCACAGATGGGATCCAGAAACAATTTTTTCTCCTCATTACCTAATTGCATAGGTAGCTTAATTTGTGGGGCTGTTCTTTCATGGTTTTTTTCTTTTGAATTTCCTTCACTTGCATATTGCAGTCATGTCCAAGGAGACTCCCAGCCTTTGGTTTGGTCGCACCATCAGTGCCTCTGTTTTGTTCTCCATAGATGTGGAGCACTTCAGAAGGAGTTTAAGTGTGAACAGATAAGTGTATCACTAAATCCACACCTCTGAAAGCTTCATTGAACAATTCTTCTCACTCCTGACATGTGAGACAAGAGTGAGTAAGATGGGTTAGGTTTAAAGTGTCTCTCCAGTGACAGTAGATAAGGTCAATGTTGGTTGTTTAGGGTAAGGCAAATTAAGTACAGTGAAAAGCCTGAAGGGAAGGAGGGAAAAGTACTGTGAGAAAGACCACATTCAGTATTGTTCTATCCCTGTAAAAGAGAAAGGGGCAGAGACCAAAGCTCTGGTCTAGATTAGATCTAGAAGTCTTGTTAGGTCTGCAATAAGATCATCTTCAAAGCAGAAGAGCTGACTTAAATATTTGTTTTCTCATCTTAGTAGGAGCTGGTTTGAGGATATTGCTTCAGGCACATCTTGAATGCTAAATAACCTGAAATTCGTATTTATCGGTGATCAAAGAGAGATAGAAATAAGTTGTTTGGGAGATGAGAACTTTAACCAACACTGAATAAAATGATACAGAAATCCCAAGATTAGTCAGGTAGGGTATCTTAACATACTTTAACACATTAAAAAGTCTATTAGTGTGGGCCTTTAGATCAAGTACCCTTTGATACATTAGAAAGAATCAGACAGGAAAAGAACAGTTCTCACGACTCTTAGAAACACTTCTGTTTTGTTTTTTTTTTTTAAACCAAAGTAAGAGCTGGAATTCTGCCTGAAATCCTGTCTTACAAACTGTGTTTCCCAGGTGAAACCCCAAGTTTAAAGATAAACATGTGGACACCGTTGCTTTACCCAAGCCTTTCATTGTTATGGTTTATTTGGTTCAGAGGTCCCTGAGAACTTCCAAGTGATTTTCTTATAATGAGGGGGACACACTGAAGCATGTGCAATGGCACTTGAAATGGGAACGTTCCTCATTCTGTATTAGCTGGCACGCTGCTTCCCAGGGGCATATGGTTTGGGTTGTAGGGTTTTTCTAGTCCGTGTTTGTAGAGCTGTCTTACATCAAAAGAGAACCAAGAGAAAAGGGAACAAAATCTTAAAACCGTTCCCTTTCCTCTGCTACTACAGTGAAAAATGCTCCCTAGAATGAGAGCAGGTCAAATTATTCAGTGTTGGTGTATAAGTGCTTTGGGAAGGGTTACTAGGGCATTTCCATTATTTGCTGTGGTTGTTTGGTGGTTGTGACATTTAGAGGGTACTTTGAAGAAAACAGCCCGGCTGGTAAATGACAGCAGAGAAAGGGGAAGGAAAGCAAATGGAGAGGAGGGAAGTTCACAGAGATTTCCTGACAAGATGAAAGGGTGAAGAAAACCCAGTGAGTTCTTATTCAA